GTTCTGATCAAGCTCTCCGCCACTCTTGCCCCCGCCGCCGACAACCGCCACACCGCCAACACTTCCTCCACCAGTTCCAGCGCCAGAAACGTCGCCGCCGGCATTGCCTCCAGCTCCAACAAAGCAAGCACCTGCACCAGCACCTCTGCTTCGGCCGGTGTTGGCGCCGGCTCTGGCGCCAAAGGGAGGAAAAAAGCATAAGAAGAAAAGGCATAGGAAGAAGAAGGCACCGGCACCGGCGCCGGCGGCACCGCCGCAATCTTCTTTGTCGGACGAGGATATCACGGCGCCAGCGCCGCAACCAGATCACGTACATCATTACCTTCTCTCTAATTAATCATTATTAGTCTTTAATTAAAGTTTATAGTATACTAATTACAAATTAAAATTGCCAATTTTTTTAATAAGAATATTTGAGCTAATTTTTTGATAAAGGACACTAAAATTATTTTATTTGGCTGATTTTCTTTATTGCAGAATGGAAGTATAGCTGTACAAGGAAGATGCGCAAGAACAATGATGCCCATTGTTGTGCTCTTTGCAGTTGTCAGTTGAAGTGTATTATTTCTGCAATTTTTTTCTTATTTCATTTATATTGAAAAATTATTTCATTATATTGTTATTTAAAAAAATGTTCAATTTTTATAGTTATTAGAGCCTTGGCTTCATTTGTAATAAATGTAAAATATGGTGGATTAGTTTTAAGTGTTATGTATGTAAAAATTCCTTGAATTTTATGTTAAACATTGCAAACTGATTTCTTTTGTATTTTAAAATGAATGAAAATAAAAAATTTTCATTATTTTTTTATAATTTTTTGTAAATGAAAGCTCTTCAAGAATGTGAAGAGCATTAATTAGACACTTCATATCTCAGTTCTTACTTAGCCTTTGGCATTTTCAAGGCTCATCACACCTCCATGATCTTCAGTCTAATATTTTTATAAAGTTACAACACCACCATACCATAGATTTAGAATGAAAAAAGAGGAAACTTTGTAACTATGTTCTTTATTTATTTTATTGAACTTCTCACTGTACATCAAATACCTTAAAATTATTCATACAAATGGATTTGGCTGTGAAGTAAGTCACAGCATCAGCATAACGAAAATGAAGAAGCTAAGCATGCTCTTGCTTCCCATTCCTCTTATTACCTTCTTCAAGAGCAAAATTGCATCCTGATACGGCGTCTTGGATGGAAAGAAATATCCATTCCTTTCCAACAACATCAATGAAACCAGCTGCCATCAGCTTCTCCACCACTTGCCCCCTTGGATTTGTTATTGCCATCTGTACGTGTAATTTAATAGATTTGTTTCTTCTTTTTTCACAGGTTCTCTCAATTAAATTTGGAAATTAGACTTGCCTGGATCATCTTCTTGCCAAGCATCCTATAGACTTCAAATAGCATTCCGATGCCAGTGTTGTCAATGGCAGCCACGCCTGCAAATTATAATGCGTGTGGGCATTAATGGCCAATATTTATGCGAATACATAAAAGAAAAAAATTACTACATAAAAAAGTATGCAAAACTTTTTTTTTTAGATTTAGGGTATGTTTGAGAGAGCTTTCTTAATGCAGTCTAAAAGGAAAAAAAGTGACTAACCACCCATATCAAATATAATGTA